CCTTAAAAATCAAACTCTTCATTCAAGAGAGCCGGGCTGCTCCCTTCTTCCTAACGGAGCTGGAAAATTAATTGTTAACCATGGAGTGTTACAGTGATGGCAGAGGTGAGTGGCTGTGGTCTCATTGCAGCCCGCAGCCTCCCTTTGCCACGGACAACTCACGGGGTGGTGCTCGTCCTCCAGGGGAGTATTTCCTGTGCTGGGTGCCCGACCCCTGAGTAGGAGGGAGGGTGGTCACAGTGCGGCCTTTCTCTTAAGTATCTTGCTGCCACGCAGGCTGCCGGAGAGCTGGGTGAGTGGTCCATGACTCAGAGCACAGCCCATTGCTCAGGGTGTCTCACACTGCACTACGCACAGCGACGATGTCCTGGCCCAGTGTGATGGAGCTGTGTCCAAGAGCAATGGAGAACCTGCCTCTTCCCCCAGGGCTTGGCCCATCCGTATCAGCGGCCTTGCAGCACCTCCCGGGCAGACCGACTCCCTGGCTGCCACTGCCATCTCCACCACTTGGCTCAGTTCCCCAGTGCTTATTTCCATGCTTGAAGGGGGTTTTTTTAGCTCTATATCAAGCACAACAACATCAACCTAATACAATTCCTGGAGACAGAGGTGACTCCCCATCAGAAATAAACAGTCTGAAAAATGTTGTTCCCATCCCCTGCTCACGCACTCAGATACAGCCACTGCTCTGATGTCCCCTGCTCCCAGCCAGGCTGGGCGCGTACCTGTGCATGTCCTCAGCAGCTGCAACTACTGATTTTCATCTCTTGCCATAAATAAATCTCTCCAGTGCCCTAATCAGCTTCCTGAAGGCTCTTGGGAGCCACGGGTGTATATTGAGTTGCTAATCGCTCTCCACAGGAGTTGACGTCTCTGTGAGCCCTACCAGTAATCTTCCCCGCCACATCCTGCCCGCATCCTGGCTGCACAGCACGCCTGAATCTCCTCAGAAGCTTTAACATAAGGGAGGCCGGAGAAAGGCTGTTCCATCGGCTAAAGCAAACCAAGGGTTTCAGCTTACACAGCTTGCCCAGTGTTAGGTTTCAGCCCAGGAGACTTTGCTCTAGAGAGCTCCCCAAGCTGAAGGTGGGGGCTCAGTGTAAAGGCTGTGCAATTTGGGGGAGAGAAGGAAAGGTCAGAGTGGGTTTAGAGCTGCTGTGAAGTCTTCACCCTCACTGCTGTGTCCTGAATTTTCCTAATCATAGAATCACTTTGGTTGGAAAAGACCTTTAAGATCATCCAGTCCAACCTTTAACCTAACCCTGCCATCCCACCACTAAACCATGGCCCTAAGCACCTCATCTATCCTTCTTTTAAATACCTCCAGGG